CACTTGGTAGTCCAGGCTGGCTTTTTAACAGAGAATTTTTACTCTTAGATCCAACCTACTCCACTGAATACAGAGAAGTATTAAGCAGTATCCTGTCAGGCCATGAAATCAGATTTTGGGACACTTTACTCTAAAAGCTATGCTTATTATGAATAGCTACATGGGTTTCTTTGACTTTACCGTACAATTTTTGCTATTTGATATGATGAAGGCTTGTGTGTGTTCCAATTGGTAGACATGAGACATGGTTGGCTTCCCTTCTCTGATATGTAGAGTAGCTTTGCTGTCATGAAACTACAAGTCTTAATGGATAACTTAAAGTGTTAGATGAATTTGGTCTTAATTATCATCAAAATATTTTCTGGTAGCACTGTAGAGTCTTTCCATTGCAAACAAGTTTAAACTTAGGATTCAGTAGATATAAGAGCCATAAAAAACAAGATTTGAGTCAGAAATTCTCGTAATATGTATTATTAAATAAATATGTACTATTAGATAAGTTTTCTCCCTTTTAGATAATACATTTTGTCTCAGTTTGGGGTTAGTTGTTTTATTTAGCTGTAAGAAGCCACACTTTGTGGGTACATGATTTTGGCAAGTGAAGGAGAGTATATTACTGTTGTCTTGGGGTATGGCACACCAACTTGCATAGTCTAAAGTCCTTAGGAAAAACTGAGGAACAGATTTTCTCTCCAGTGAGGGTGTATGCTCTCAGGACTCCCTAATTTTGTCTAGCCAGGCATGCGCACACAGACTGTTGCCATTTTACTTATTGTAGCAAATATAATTCATTTCTGTCACAAACTGGCAGGGAAAAAAGGTTTTATTTATTTATTTATTTTAAACTTAAGATTTTTTTTTTAATTTAGGTAATATGGGAAATTCTGTTGCCCTTTCAAATATGAGGGTTTTTAGATATGTTTTCCTCTTAGGGGTCCACCAATATTGTGATAATGAGCCAAACTGAATCTTTACTTGAGCCTCTTTGTAGGAAGAGATGCCTGGGAGGTAGTCATAAATCAAGAGGACAAGTGGATGGATGCTCTCTAACTCAGGTTTATCTGTTACAGTAATTACTGCATTTTACATATCCATTTTAGGATAATTTATGTATGTATAAAAATAAACCCATTTCTAGTTCAATGAATTCCTGACGGAAGAATGTTTTTCAGACTGTAAGCAAAGCTTTTGTCTGTTATTAAGAAAACTGCTTCATTAAGTAAGAGGGAATGGGGTATTAAAGTATGTGTGGTAAAGAGAAATGATTTCATTACAATGAGCAATTTTTAAGTTGTTCAGCCAAGATCAGGAAAATACTTCACATTATAGGTATAGGCATCTGCACATTCTGCAAGTCTAGAAAGGTACAGAAAAAGCTTACAGTTGCAAGTTTCTGTTAAGAAAAATGAAAGTGATGAAAATCTGATTTCCTTTGTGGCTACATGAACATTATTTCATTCTTGATAAGGTGGTAAACTTTGCAAGAGTAAGCTTTTTATTTTTCTTGTACCTGAAGTCACATACTGAACTTGAACCCTCCCATACACAGCAAACGTTTTCTTTGAAATTGCTAGAGGCCTTTTCTAGGCAATGGTTAATGCAGTCAAATTCTCCTCCAAGTTTGCCATGATGTTTTATGTGGTAAAATTGAAAGTTTTTAACAAAGAAGAATAATAGAAGTATCCTTTCAATGACAATTAGTGAAAAAATATTTCCCGTTGTCATGTATTATTAAGCAAACATTCTAAGTAGATTTTTCTCCTTACCTAAAAGGGGACATTTCTATATGCTTATGACCTGACTGTTCTTAGATCCTTGAGCACACACACCCAGTCAACTCCTAAATCATACAATACTTCCTCAGATGTATTTTCTTTGACTTTTCTCTTTTTTTCTAATACATAAGCTTATGGAGTATATTAAACTGTGTTATTTCTTCAGAAGTTCTTTAGGGTTATAAATCAATAGTTGAGTTAGATAAGAGCTCTAATTCCTGTGGCAGAACATTTCACGACCCAAATGAAAACCGCAGATACGCTCGTGACTCACAAGTTGGCTTCATCAAAGTCTGACTCTTCAGCTGACTTTCTGAGAGGTCTGGCTCGTGGGCCTCTGACTCATTCCAGCCCCATTCCCACTCATATGTCCCCTGCTTCACATTGCATGAGTGTGGGAATGTTGTCGGGAAACAGCACAGCCACCTGGGAAGTTTGCCAGTGCCATTGCACACGGAGATGACCAAGTGAAGGAGAGGTGGAGGTGAGTGTGCGGCAGCCTAACAGCATTGCATTGATCCAGAAGAAAAGGAAGGCAGGGAGGGACGCATCCGAAACGCACAGACCATTTCCCTTGGCTTCATAGGTCTTAAACACCAGTTTGAGAGAAAGGACCATTCATTCTGGCAGAAAACTGCCTTCTAAGCGTGAGCTTTATAAAACCCTCTCATGAAGGCAAAGAGGGTCAGTACAGTGACAGGAAATGCCAGACTGTGATACTGTTCTAGAAAATCCTTTAACACACCCACTGCTGGTGGGGGTTCCACTAGTGGAGACGGAGGGGAATTAGAGGTTGACTTCAGAGGAATTTATTTTACTATGTTTTGTTTAGAACGATTTACCCTTCTACTAAACTCTGAGAGTGAATGAGAACACTTGGATATGATTGGTAGGGTTAAAGTGGTGCAGGCATTGTGGAAAACAGCCTTAAGGTCCCTCAAGAAAGTTAAAATAGGACTATGATATGACTCAGAACTCTTACTTGATAGGTATTTATACAAAAGAACTGAAATCAGAGTCTAGAGGGGACATTAATGTATTCCTTGTACTGACACCTTCTGCAGTATCGTTCCCAACAGTTAAACTGTGTATATCAGAGGGATTTTTAAGCAGAAACACGATTTGGTGTGTGAAGCAAACTTACACATGGGTTTGAAATATCTTCAGCATGGCACCAGTCCATAATACGCTGGTAGGAAAGGGGCTGAGCTGAGGGCTGAGATTTGCTGAGTACAGGGCAGGAATGAAAACCAAAAAGTCAGTGCAATCAAGATATTACTTCAAGCTTTGGCTTGAAACTAGAAAGGAGATGGCCAAGGATGCAGATCACATCTGGGGGAGAGTGCTGGGTAAATGTAGGGCACGTTCAGGAAGTAATGGAAGCATTGAGCATATTGGAGGCATCGAGCATATTGAGGCATCCCAGGTGAAGCAGGGCGGAGAATAATGTTGACGTGTCCAGGTTCTGAGAAATAATTGGCAGGAATGAAGTGGAAAAATGTGCTCTCATCAGTGGACCGGGCACAGGCAAGCCATCAAAGGCTTGATTAGCACAGGTAGGAGGACCCCCTCTGCGTTTATCTCTAGTGCCCGAGCCTCTGAGACTCTTTCCAAGGCATGGCCCAGTGGTGAATTGTTTTTTCTTTTTTCTTTTTGCTCAGTAGTTGTATGGAGTGCTGATTGGTATACAGATCTCGTCAAGGGTTGTAAGTGAATTGAAAGATCATAATCTACACAACGTTTGAGCTCTTAAATAAGCAGGAAGGAATAGTCCAGTAAATTAGTCTCAATTTTAATATTTTAGAGTATGCCCCCTCTGTCTTCCTTCTCTACCCTCATCATAATTATAAGATTATGATTATATCAATAAAAAGGATGGGGCTGGAGAGATGGGCTCAGAGGTTAAGAGCATGGGCTGCCCTTCCAGAGGTTCTGAGTTCAATTCCCAGCAACCACATGGTGGCTCACAACCATCTATAATGAGATCTGGTGCCCTTTTCTGGTGTGTAGGCAGAACACTGTATGCATAATAAATAAATAAATAAATAAATAAATAAATAAATAAATAAATAAATAAATAAATAAATAAATAAATCTTTAAAACTGCAGTCAGCTTAAAAAAAAGATATACTATAATTTGTGGTTAAGCATTAGGCAGCTGAGTCTTATCTTTATTTTGCTCAATCCTGCTCCAGGCTTTCCTGTATCCAAGCTGATATTCAGAGACTCAACATCAAAATTCTGGTAACACATGAGTCACTTAAAAAGCAGAAAAATTATTTCTAAAGGCAAAATATCAAACCAGAAATAACATCAAATTCTTCTTGTTTAAAATAGCGTTTAAGACACAGTTAAATATCACAGGCAAACAGAACTCTGAAAATCTGGTGGTCCCTGCCATGTATGTAAGTAAGCATGTGTAAAGGTAGAGGCCTGTGGTGAAGGGACCATCTCCCCTCAGATGCTCATGCACCACTGAGTGTGTTTGTCAGGTACACCACAGGAAAAGAGGAGTCTCTGTTAAAGTATTCTAAAGAAGAAAGCAGGCAGCAATGGGAAACAGAATGCTAACACCTGGGATTGTCTCTTTCATTCATGGCTTTCTTTGTTCTTTATGTACTTGTGGAAGTTGCCTATAACCTCTGAGCTGCTCCCTTTCCTAAGAGGAGATAATAATTCTCATTAATAGCATCCTAGAAGACTCAACTAGTTCCATAGCAAGATTTACTGGCAAGCTTTTTTGCTATGCACCCACCTAGTCTAGGGGATCTCATAGAATGGACATTTCCCACTTAAGTGGATCAAGAGTCTAGCGTGGGGAGGGCATGCCATTTCCAGAATGCTGCAAGCAGAAATTCCCAATGAAACTGATCAGCCTTCTTAAGTGAATCTTCACAGATTGCCTTTTATTTTTATATTCCTTGTGTAGGCTGTTTTCTCTCAGCTGTTTCTCTTGGCTCCTTGTTCTTAATCTGAGGCAAGTTCAATCTTTGTTGACTGTTTTTATTAAGCCCTCAAATTCTCATGTCTTTATTACATTCTGTAGCAAGCATTTCCCAGTAAGTAATTAGTGAAATATTTAATATAATCAGGATTTTGGAGTTTAATATTTCTCTACCAATATGCTAGGTATGCTATGTAAATATATCACATAAATGTGTCTATCAATGTTATTTAAACATTTTTTACTTCTAGTTTTAATTATGATGTTTGTGTTAGTGTGTGTTAGTGCAGTGCCCAAGGAGACCAGAATATCCTATCAGAGTGCCTGGAAACTGCCAGACATTCTACAGGACACAGAAAGAAGTGATTTAGAGACTCTAAGCCTGTGGACTGAAGACAGATGCCCCAGCTTTACAGAGGAACTTTGGATGACTGTCCAGGCTGCCAGCTATCTGTCTACTCTCCCAAGATTTCTGAAAGTTGCTTGCATCCTTCTCCCATTTCTCAGGTACTATTATATCCTTCTGGGGTCTTTGATGTAGTTGAAGACTAGATAGTTATAATTTCCTTAGTTATAATAAAAGATAAGTTAGATATGAAACCTTAGACTCACAAATGTAGGATAGATAGGATAGCTTCTTTAATTTTGCCAAATACAAATAGACTAGATATTATAAATAGCTACATATTTAACTGTAATTCTTGCTTGATAATTGTTTTGTCATATGTAATTTTACTATGTTAAAGTTAAAATCTTCCTTTTTGTAAAAAAAAAAAAGAAAAGAAAAGGGGAAGTGCTGTGGATATCGCTTTGTATGCTGTGAATGTGTTGCTCTGATTTGGTTAACAAATAAAACACTGATTGGCCAGTAGCCAGGCAGGAAGTATAGTCTAGGCAGGATAAGCAGAGAGGAGAATTCTGGGAACAGGAAGGCAGAGTCAGGAGTCACCAACCAGACACAGATGAAGCAAGGTGTAAAAGTACCAGTAAGCCACAAGCCATGTGGCAACTTATAGATTAATAGAAATGGGTTCATTTAAGATAAAAGAACTAGATAGCAAAAAGCTTGTCATGGCCATACAGTTTATAAGTAATATAAGTTTCTGTGTGTTTACTTGGGTCTGAGTGGCAGCAGGAGCTGAGTAGACACAGGAAAACTCCAGCTACAGGAATTAGCATTATAGGTGATTATGAACTATGTGATATGGATACTGGAAACAAACTTGGATCCTCTGCAAGAACATTATATCTCTCCAACCCCACTATCACTATTATTATTCTATTTTTATATTTTTATGTGTATTAAATGTTTTGCTAGTATGTATGTGCACCACAAGTGTGCTTGGTGTCTGAGGAGAACAGAAGAGGGTGCTGTATCTTCTGGAACTGGAGTCACAGGTGGTTGTGTACCACCATTTGGTTGCTGAGAAGTATATAATAAGTCCTCTGCAAGAGCCTCAGTGTACAGGTACCAAAGAAAATGTAAAAGAAATCTATGTGTTTACAACTTTGAGGAGTTAAAAAAGGAAGTTGGTGCATAGTGAATCAAAGAAGGGTAGAGCATAATTTGACTGTAGAACTTCACATGCAACCCTTAAATTTAGAGATAGGAATTGTGAAACCTGGTTTTGATGATATGAGCATCTTCAGCTGATACTGAGAAGACCTTCAATCTGTGTATCAGTTATTGTAAACATGTTTGAAAGGAAACACCAGGATCAATAGACATATTTTTTTTCTTTACAAGCAATTGGTGCAGCGGGAGAAAATGTGCAGTCAAATATTGGGGTCCAATAGACAGACAAGTACAGGCTTTACAGGGTCCTTATTTACACAGTCTCTGAATCAAATTGCCAAGTTCACAGGTGGAGTTTCAGCAGAAGGTCCCTGGTCTTTCCTGCCCCTCTGCTGAAAGAGTCAGGCTGGGATAAGGAGCTTCACCCAGATATCCCTCAGCCATAAGAATAAGGCTGGGATAAGGAGCTTCACCCAGATGTCCCTCTGCTGAAAGAGTCAGGCTGGGATAAGGAGCTTCACCCAGATGCCCCTGTGCTTGAGAGTCAGGCCCTACTACCAAGCTGCATGCTGTGAATCCTTCAGTAAACAAAGTGGCCCTTTGGGTTTCGGGGGAAACTTGGGAATTTCACTGCACATTATAAATCTCCACTGCACTCCTCTCAGCTGAAGGTCAAGGTGATACCCACGGTCCCCACAGAAAAGCCCCACTGTAAACTATTGCTGTTTTACACAGATTCTTATTTTTCACACATACTTGGAAGAGGAACTTGAATGTATATTTAATATTTACTGGGCTGAACTTTTTCAGGCAAGTAGATGTGAGCATCCCTGAACCTCAGTGCTGGAAGCTGAACCAGAACCAGAACTTGGGTCTGTTGTATTTAGTTTAGTTATTTTCCCCACAATCTGGAATTTCTTGTAGTTCAGAGTAAGTATGCATTCCTTCTAAGACTTAAACTGGCTCTGGTGGGACATTCCCATGTGGCATAGACCAAACAGAACCCTTCAAGTGCTACACCAAAAGGCACAGAAAACCCATTATACAGCAAGTGCTTGCGCCATGAAAATGAATACTGTTGTGTCTTATTTGTGTTAGTAAAATAGAATTGTCTTATTGGAGTATTTTATATTATTAGTAAAATGTCATTATTACATTATTCAGGTAACAATTTAACATGTAACAACTTGAATTTAGGAAAGTCTCTCTACTGTAAAGATAATGAATCTGTGAGGTGGAAAAGTGTGACTTCAGTAGTAGCTTCCACTCCACTGTGAGCAGCACTAAGATCATGGCAGACTATGTGCAAGGTTTTTCTTCAGTGAACACTAGGGACATGCGTACACTGAAATCAACCATGGCCTCTGCAGATCACTCAACAGCACCAAGCTCAGTCCCTAACCGTTATCATGGAAGAATTGATAGCTTTTTCAGAAAAAAATGCTAATGTAGAACCATGTTTTTATTGAACAATAATAGTCAAAATGCATGTTCATTTTCTAAAACATTGTTCTTAATCCTATAAAAATCAGAAAAAGGTGTTATGTACTTCTAAAAGAAATGGTATAATGTCAGGGAAATAAAATTACATTTGCAGCACACATTGTAAGAAGGCGTTTTTCTTGTTCAGATGTTTGTCTGTTGTTAAGTATGTATGTTGTGCATGCATGCAGAATATATATATATATATATATATATATATATATATATATATATATATATAGTGTGTGTGTGCATGCATGTACTATATACACACACATACACACACACACGCGCACACACACACAGGCGCGCACACACACACACACACACACACACACACACACGCACAAGCACGTGTGTGCCTGTACCTGTGCCCTATTTTATGTCATTTTGGCACTTTAGCTGTCTCTAGAAATTGGAAAGAAATTAGCTTGGAAATTTCATGCTGTAAGAAACCAGGCCTCACATAGATCTGTGCCACATTTAGTTAATTTCTGAAAGACAAATGGTTTATTTTTAGTAAGGAGAAGTTTGTTATTGGAATATGACCTTGCAAGTAAGAAGGGAGAATGAAATGAAGTGCCCAGCATAGTTATCATCAACATGAGCATTTGAGATAATGACAGGAGCATTTTTCCTTCTGATTAAGCTGCTTTTCTTCCTCCTATTCAGCTTTTTCTGGACAAGAAAACAAATGATCAATTTAGAATCACATTACATTCACAATGAACAGGACTATGAGATCAGGCTTGGGCAGACAGTCCAGTTTAGAGGATTCAAACTTTTAGAGAGCACCTACTGAAAAACACCGAACCTTTGCACAGGTGCGTATCTTTCTTGAAATAATCTGGAAAGCAAACTGGTCCCTCAGAACCGTATTGTGAGAGGAGCCAAGGCAGGCGAATGGTTGTATGGAATCTGTTGTTAAGATACCTGACCACTCACAGGGATACAGTGCATGTCCCCAAGCCTGCTGTGGTCAAATGACAACTTCAGAAATGGCTACACTAGATGAGGGTGGATTGCCCCACTAAGGACTGACTAGTAATTTTTTGCTAAGCGCCTCACCACCTGCATACTTGTGTCCTGAGCCAAGGAAACGCAGAACTTATTGTTTGCATCTATCTCCGTGAGAGCAATGGTTGCCTTTTCACGGGATGAGAGCAGATTCTGGTCTGTTAATTTCTTCCAACCACTCTAAGGATATCAACTCATTCCTAATTGTATTACCTGAAAGTAAATCACTGCTGAGATTATATTGTGTAATGATCCCAGATCTTTGTGGAACATTTTAGTTGAAATTTGGTTTATATTTTTTGTGGGGGTTGAAATCTTATAATATGAATAGAATACACAGATTCATGAATTTTCAAAGCCAAACATGAAAGAATGTGAACTTGTGGACCCCATAAGATGGTGTCTTAGTCAGTGTTCTATTGCTGTGAAGAGACACCATAACCACAGCAACTCTCATAAAAGAAAAGCATTTGCTTGAGGCTACCTTACAGTTCAGATGTTTAGTCCATCATCATCATGGCAGGAAGCATGGTACTAGAGAAAGAACTGAGATTTCTACATCTGGACTGGCAGGCAGCAGAAAAAGAGAGACAGCAGGCCTGGGCTTGAGCACTTGAAAATCCTCAAAACCTCAAAACCCTCCCCTCAGTGACACACTTCCTCCAACAAGGCCACACCTACTCTAACAAGGCCACACCTCCTCCAAAAAGGCCACACCTCTAAATAGTGCCACTCCCTATAAACCTATGGAGGCCATTTTCATCCAAACCACAACAAACAAGTTTTTTTTTTTTGTCTGCTTGGAAAATTATTTTGATTTGCTGCCAAGATTTAAACATGGACATATGTTACTTAAGAATATGATTTCAGGCTTCTCTTGTTATGGATATTGTACTCATGAACTCACAGCAGATGTGGTGACCTACACAAGATCAAACCAGGTAAAAATACCAGCACAGAAGGAGAGGGACTCTTTAGGTCCCACCACTTACTAAGGAAGTACTGGAAGTTCAGAGCTGCTTGGGGAGGAAGACATCCTTTTGTGAGGATGTGGCTACTGGTAGGTCACCCATGCACTAGCAGATGGCTCCACACCCACTTGAATTACTGAGTTATTTTTAAAATGAAAAGGACATGATGGAGAGGGAAGTATAGGGGTGATTGATGGGAGTTGGAGGGGAAAATGAGGGGTGTATATGATCATATTTCATTGGATACATGTATGAAATTTTCAACAAATTAAAAGCATTCAAATGTGCTGGTGCCCCCTGCCCCCCTCCAAAAAAACCCAACAAAACAAAACAATACAAAAACCTAAATCCCACCCCTGCAAGGTTAGTCAGCCATTGTATGGTTGTTGGCTTTCAATGACTGGGAAGTGACATTCTATTTGCCTCAGATTTGTAAACCCACATCACCTTCTGATGTATTTCTCATCTCTGTGGACACTATTGAAGATGATCAGAAGTGACCAGAAGTAGTTCAATTATTG